GCTGGTCAGGATGCTCAAACAAAGAGCAATGTACTGATAGCATCACAAAGACCCGGTGTTAGCACGTTTTGGTGCAATCAATTTTTCTGGGATAGGAGAAAGCATTTTAACACTGAAAACTGTACAAAAACCATCTTTACATTAAGCAGGGTTGGGCAAACTTTGGTTTCACATTGGACTTCTTAGGTGTTTTGTATATGAGGATGAGAGACTTGTTAAAAAAAGAAAAGAAAAAAAGAAAATGACACACACACACGTGAGTTTAGCTCCAACCCTAATTAAACACATTTTACATCCGGAACACGACTGTTGCACTCGATTACATTTACACTATTAAAATGGCATACTATCTGAATGGCATACAGCCTATGCATAAACCGCTTTTTTCCTTAATGGCATCCTCTAAAGGAGGTTCTGTCATATTTAGTTTACTTCCAGGGACATTTTTCATCAGTTTCATGTAGGTCCAACACACAGACACACACAGGAGCAGAAGCAGCATGTGACAGTCTAGATGATTCCTGTAGGTGTCAGACATGGAGAGTGTGTTGATGAACATGACGAGAGTGCAGGTGTGTGAGAGCTCAGACTCTGGTTCAGTCAGCGGTCAGGACACACACGCCTCACAGATAGAGCAGCTGAACCTGCAGACGGCTCACATCAGGCACTACTCATCTCAGTTTGACATGGGACAAAACCTATCCCACAGTTTCACCTGCCATTAATTTCGATTTGCATTTAGTGGTCAGAATTGGTCATTAAAACCACTGTGTTATAAATGTAGCATCGGTTGCGGTAATGAGAATGCAGTGTCAGAAAAAAAGCTGTACTAATACAACTACAACATTTAGATAATGACACTATATTAGAATCAAATTGTTTCTCAGTTTTCTGGAGGAGGTCGTCCCACTTATTTTTTTATCAGCAGTTAAATCTGGACCTTAAAGGTGGGGTAAGCGATTTCTGGTAGCCAATGTTGACATTTGAAATGCCCCTACCTCAAAACGGTCTCGCCCCTATTTTGATAGCTCCGCCACACATACGTACGCAACCCAGGCAACGATTAGTTCTGTGAAACAAAGCAAAACCAATGTTACACCGTGTCTACACCGGACGCGAGTGGCGCGGCGCGACAAAATACAATAGAACACATTATAATCAGTGATGCTGTCTTCACCATAGATATATATATAGTACATATCTATGGTCTACACTGGATGCGGCACGACACGACAAATCCCCGACAGAAAACTGCTGCTGCATTCTATTCATGACGTATTGACATAGATTTCAAATGATTTTCAGCAGTCGCTTTGTCGCGTCCAGTGTACTAGACAGACTTTAGCTGCTGCGGCGCAGACACGGTGTTACTCACCTATCGAGAAGAAACAAAGCAACCTCGGCGTCCGATCGCAGGCCTTCCGCTCCTTGAGTTCTCTCCAGCGCTGGAAAGCTGATCCGATATTTACACGGGTCCTACTTCTTGCCTTATTGCCTTAAGCCTTCTTTTGTTCCACAGACGTTTTCCTCTTTTGTTTTGTATCCGCCATCTCTATCTTTCTGTCGCTCGGCTCGGCTAATGTCCGTCCTGTGCACTGAACTCTCTCTCCTCCAAATCACGAGTAGACACGCCCCTTACTGCTGATTGGCTACAAGTTTGTTTTGCTAGTCATCCCGAATCAGTTTTCTAAAGCGTTTTTGAAAAATCACTTACCCCACCTTTAATAACTTAGAAAAGAAAGCAGAATAGAAGTATTTTCACTGTATGCCACACACACACACACACACATGCAGGACTGCAGTGCTGAAGCTGGATGAGAAAGTGCGGGAGCTGATAAGAGAGAAGATGCGTGACAGAGCAGAAGAGAGATACAGTGAAGACAGACACATACAAGAGCAGGTCAGACAGACATGTTTCAAACATTCATGATACATTCACAGTGTTTTGCATTGCAACATTATCATTTTGATTGTGCTTTTATATGAGCATGGCTAGTTTGCTTGACTCTTTCGATTAGCTACTTGATCCTTCCTTGCATATTTTCATGTATTACAATATTTTACAAAAAATACACTATCGTTCAAATGTTTAGGATGAGTATTTTA